GATTTTGCCTCTAGGTTAACTCCTGAAGCCTTTTCCATGAGTGGATATAGCCACAAGGCAGTGGAGGTTTGAAATCGGAGTTTTCCTTCTCCTAGATGGGTTGCGTTCCATGGCTGATGAGCCCCACCTACCCGGCCTGCTCTTTAATAGTGCGGAAGTATGATCCAACCCTTAGAACCTTCCTGCCTCCCAGGAAAGGTGTAATCAATACATAACTCTTAAAAATAAATAGATTTTAACAACGTAGTCGTTGAATTGTATTTACTTAGATCTGGACATAACTGTACAATAGACAGAAGAATCCATTTTGGACAGTTATTAATCTGCTGCTCAACATTTCTCTGCTATTGGGGGGGTTGGCATGAATGAGGATGGGCCACAGGTCAGCAGCAATTGGCACTTCCCTTAACATGCAGAAGGTTCCAGGTTCAAATCCTGCCATGTCCAGTTAAGAGGATCAGATGGCAGACGGTGGGAACAACTTTTGCCTGAGACTGCGCACACAGCCACAGCCTGTCACAGAAATCAGTACTACTCACTACTCGCTTAACGAGCAAAGGTGTAATCAATACATAACTCTTAAAAATAAATAGATTTTAACAACGTAGTCGTTGAATTGTATTTACTTAGATCTGGACATAACTGTACAATAGACAGAAGAATCCATTTTGGACAGTTATTAATCTGCTGCTCAACATTTCTCTGCTATTGGGGGGTTGGCATGAATGGGGCAGCAGCAATTGGCACTTCCCTTAACATGCAGAAGGTTCCAGGTTCAAATCCTGCCATGTCCAGTTAAGAGGATCAGATGGCAGACGGTGGGAACAACTTTTGCCTGAGACTGCGCACACAGCCACAGCCTGTCACAGAAATCAGTACTACTCACTACTCGCTTAACGAGCGCACCGCATAGTGACATGTTTTTTGCAATCGCTAATGCGATCGCATTGCGATGTTTTAATAGGCAAAACATTGCATTGCGATGTTTTGGGAACAGCTGATCGGCGGTTCCAAAATGGCTGCCGGGTCAACACAGTTATTAATCTGCTGCTCAACATTTCTCTGCTATTGGGGGGTTGGCATGAATGGGGCAGCAGCAATTGGCACTTCCCTTAACATGCAGAAGGTTCCAGGTTCAAATCCTGCCATGTCCAGTTAAGAGGATCAGATGGCAGATGGTGGGAACAACTTTTGCCCGAGACTGCACACACAGCCACAGCCCGTCACAGAAATCAGTAACTGAATTGCATCAAGAAGGGTGAAAGATGGGATCCTGCAGATATTCGGTTGGATTGCAAGCCTCGTGATCCTTATCTGTTGGTAATGCTGGTGGGGATAGCGACATTAATCCTGGAAAGGATTAACGTCACTATGCGGGGCACCACTGCAATTAAATTGCATCAAGAATGGTGAAAGATGGGATCCTGCAGATATTCGGTTGGATTGCAAGCATCGTGATCCTTATCTGTTGGCAATGCTGGTGGGAGCTAATAGGCACTGTAGTCTTGCAACGCCTGGACTGCTATCCTTTCTCCATTAGGCAGATTCATGTCTGTAGAAAGATTTTACTGTTCTACATAGAAAAATAATAACTCTTCTCTCTTTCTCTCTAATTTTTTTTTGTCTTTTGAGCAGAATTTTTCACAGTAAGAAACGACCTTTTCCCCATGCTCATGCTGACCCTGTGTCTGATGATTTCTCTTGGTTTAAGGTAAATCTCATTATTTCATGTCAGTTACACGCAGGCAGTGACGTTTTTTCAAACAAGATATTGGCCACCTTCCAGGAAAAGTTTTTTTGTTTTGTTTAAATTACATTTTCCCAGAATCTCAAATGACCGTCTGGCTCAGAGAGTTCTGGGAGTTCTGGTGCAAAAAAAGTAACTTTTCCAAGCTCAACCACAGTCTTGAACATCACAGGATCGGCTGTGTGTGTCAGGAAGGAGGGATGACTAACAGCAGTCCCTCCAGCCTCCTGTACGGTAAACTCTGGATGGTTTTCAAAGTGGCTGGTGATCAGGTGCTTGGGTCTGTAATTCTGACAGCACAACAGTGAAATTAAAATCAACTCACAGCTGACTCCGAATTATTCAAACATTTCGAGCCCGTCATAGACTGCTCTCCTGGTAGGGTTGCCAAAGATTGCAGGAAACCAGCTCAAGTCTCATGGAACTGCTCTGCTTCTCCAGATCTCCAGACATATTCTTGTTAGAGATTGCAACTCCCAGAGTCGGTTTATTGATATGGATCCAGTATAATATGGATCAAGAGGATTGCATTTTTGGACTCTGTTTGGGGGTACCGCTACAGGCATTGTTGGGTTGAACGCTTGCACTTTCAGATCTACCACTGAAGTTGCAATTAGATCATGGAAAGTATAGAAAATTAGTTCGTATAAAAAGTGTTTCTTGTGATTTCAGATTCTTTCTGGGAGAACTATTTACTGCTCTGCTGGCCTGCTCACTCTTGATCATCGTTTTAATTTGCAAGCAAAAATTCTCTTTATCCTCCATAAATGAGAATTTATCATATTGACGTCCAGTATCCCATTCTTCAGAAGAGAGGTGTATATATACATATATATACATGTATATATAATTTCATCTTTAGAGAAACAGATTTCAATTTTTTTCTTTTAATATTTCTAATATTTTCAGACTGCAGCTAAGTGAATCAGCGGAAACTGATGCCATGGATAGGGGGCGCTACTGTGCTTAAAATGAAGAATCCTAGTTTTGCAATATTGCTTTGTATTTACAATATCTTCTTTAAAATAAAGTTATAGATTTAATACAATACCTAGTAAAATATTATTTTTTTCTGTAGAGGTGTTTGAATTCTGGGAATTGGTTAGGGAGGGAGAAGAAGAAATGGCTAGGTTCAAAAATGGGGATACAATGGGTGGACTTCCTGTGGTTTTGCATGCAAAAGCAGCCACATTCAATGCGATAAACAAAACTGTTTATTACAGCATCTGAGCTTAGTAGCTAATTCCATCAGGAGCCTTCTCTCTGTCCATCTTTCTGTTCCCCTTGCCTTTTGTTATCCTAAATTTCTCTGGGCTGGGACCACAACATCATGGTAAAACATCTGCTTTCATTTCAGCCGTCAGCATCACAAGTCAAGAAGAAGCCTCAATAAATCTTAAGAAATCCTAGGGAAAAATTCTCCTGCCTAAAAGCATAGAAAACTTCCCAGCTAGGACAGAGAACAGCAAGCTAGATCCCCAAATAAGATTTAAAGGCTGTCCATTTAATGGAATTTTCATAAATTTGGGCACCATGTTTTTCTTCCTCCATCAGGCGTTGAGCAGGGGGCTGGAACTGATGGCCTCACAGGTCCCCTTCCAACTCCATTATTTTATGATTCTATAATTCTGTCATGGTCCATTCCCCTTACTCATAGTAACACTCCTAGCTGAAGCAGAAGACCAAACAGCAGCAGCAACACCCCTTCCTAATCCGCAGCAGAAAATCAACAGGTGTGCCATAAAAAGTGTTTACACATTTTCCTATCCATGGTCATTGTCTCCATACAGAGGGAAAGAATCATTAAAGTGGGGCCTTTTAAAAAAAATTATTTATTGTAGCTGGTCATGGCAAAGCAACAGTGGACCTGCAAGCAAAGGACTTAACCACATGCAATAGTAAAATGTTCCTTCTTGATTGCTCTTGAATGCAAAGTCTTTATTCACAAGGTACTTGTGTGCCTCTTACTCTGTTGGCATCTCCGGTACGGAAGATGGGGTGGGCATCAGCCCTTTGCTGATAGTTCTGAAGCCGTTCATATTTCCACTCTTGACATGGTAGATTCAAGAAACTCTCATTTGCCACAAAAGAAGCTTTGCTTCCAATCCATCCATTTGCAAGGATGGTCTCTGGAATCAGGTCTTTGGGGGAGAGAACATTTCGTGCTTTGCTCCCCACTCTGGTGCCAGTCTGGATTTGTTGCAAAGTATTGAACTTCTGGCAAAATTGTATCCACAGACAAGAATAGCTTCAAGTTCCCTATAGTCCACCCCTTTCACATAAAATCTCAGTAACTCACCCTGAGACCTTTGCAGGAGAAAGAATAAAAAACATTTGTTTTCTTACAGTTGCTTGAAATTGCAGACTACTGTATACTGTGTCCTTTACGGCACATGTAATAGCAACCCCAACCGGGCCACAAAGGAAATTTTGCTTCCAGTCCATCCATTTGCAAGGACGGTCTCTGGACTCAGGTTTTTAGGGGAGAGAACATTTTGTGCTTTGCTCCCCACTCTGGTGCCAGTCTGGATTTGTTGCAAAGTATTGAACTTCTGGCAAAATTGTATCCACAGACAAGAATAGCTTCAAGTTCCCTATAGTCCACCCCTTTCACATAAAATCTCAGTAACTCACCCTGAGACCTTTGCAGGAGAAAGAATAAAAAACATTTGTTTTCTTACAGTTGCTTGAAATTGCAGACTACTGTATACTGTGTCCTTTACGGCACATGTAATAGCAACCCCAACCGAACATATCAACAGCAACAAACAACTGCCACCAACCAGTATTGAACTTCTGGCAAAATTATATTTTTGCTACACAGTAGGAGTACAGCGATCCACAGACAAGAATAGCTTCAAGTTCCCTATAGTCCACCCCTTTCTCATCAATGGGCACATAAAATCTCAGTAACTCACCCTGAAACATTTGTAGGAGAAAGAATAAAAAGCATTTGTTTTCTTACAGTTGCTTGAAATTGCAGACTACTGTATACTGTGTCCTTTACGGCACATGTAATAGCAACCCCAACCGAACATATCAACAGCAACAAACAACTGCCACCAACGAAGGAAAGAGAGACATAGAACACAGCAGGGAGGCAGGCCTCTCTTTGAATTTCAGAAGCTGGAAGGAACAATGGATTAGTTCTGGATATACTGATAACCCTCTCAGTCCAGAAAAGTCCTCTCAGTCATTCAAACTACACACAGCTTGCAAGGTTGTAAATAAAGCTCCAACAGGATTTGGCCAGGCACCTGCAATTACAATGGTAACACAACGACAGATAACTTCACTTAGGGCAACCAGATGAAAAGGCTTGTACTGTATTTCCTCTTGTATGAAAAAGGAGATTTCAACAGTTGTAGCTTTGCATTAAAAGCTTCACCTGTTGAAATTTCTCTTTCTGCACTCGTATTAAAGCTACAGGTACCCTGCCCACTTTTTCATCTGGCCAACATAATGGCACTCCTTTTAGGGTGTGACTGTAACACTTTTCATGGATTGCTGCTTTGTTGTGGTGAAGGGGCTTGAGTAACTCAGAGAAGCTATGGGCTATGCCGACACAGCTTGCAAGGTTGTAAATAAAGCTCCAACAGGATTTGGCCAGGCACCTGCAATTACAATGGTAACACAACGACAGATAACTTCACTTAGGGCAACCAGATGAAAAGGCTTGTATTTCGTCTTGTATGAAAAAAAGGAGATTTCAACAGGTGTAGCTTTGCATTAAAAGTTTCACCTGTTGAAATTTCTCTTTCTACACTCGTATTAAAGCTACAGGTACCCTGTCCACTTTTTCATCTGGCCACCCTAATGGCACTCCTTTTGGGGTGTAACTGTAACACTTTTATAGTTACAAGGTGTTAATGGTCTCACTAGATGTGTTTTTTAGGAGAACAGTTTGTAGTGTTTTGATTTTTAGTCTCACTGCTTAGATGTGTTTTTTTAACCTAAAAGGAGAACAGTTTGTAGTGTTTTGATTTTTTTTTAAAGAAAATAGACAGGTTAGGAGTTCGATTCCCCACTGCACTTCCTTGGAAGGGGCTGGAGTCAATGATCCCTAAGATCCCTTCCAGCTCTGCAGTAGTTTAGGAGGTTAGGAGTTCTATTCCCCACTGCACTTCCTTGGCTGGGGCTGGACTCATTGATCCATAAGATCACTTCCAGCTCTGCAGTTCTCAGATCATCATCATCATCTCAACCTCCCAGCTCTGCAGTTCCCAGATTATTACCATTATTTACATCTCACGGTTGCTTGCATGAGTTCAAGGCAGTGCCCATAACTCTCCTCCTACACTTTATCCCACAACAACCTTGCGAGGGAGACCAGGAATACAAGAGCGGGAGGAGGGAGCCGAAGTCCGTTGATGCCTCCAGGATGTCAATCGAAGGCCGGAGTTCTTGAAAGACTGGCGTTTTGCCCGTATCTCTTTGCCCTCCGTCAGAGCCCCGCCCCCTCGCTCTGAAAGGGACCGAGATGGCTGCCGGGCTGACTCCGCCCCCTCCGGTTGCCGTGGCAACACGGGCCGCGTCCTCGGCTCAGGGCTGCTGAGAGGCCCCGCCATGGTGCGGAGTGAGTGCCTTCCTTTCTGCCCTTGCTTGCTTTCCTCTGTCGGAGGGGAGGATGACCTAGAGTTCGGGGGGCGATTTAGAGCCAGGGAAATTAGGGGCCGGGCGATGGCTGCCGGGCTGACTCCGCCCCCTCCGGTTGCCGTGGCAACACGGGCCGCGTCCTCGGCTCAGGGCTGCTGAGAGGCCCCGCCATGGTGCGGAGTGAGTGCCTTCCTTTCTGCCCTTGCTTGCTTTCCTCTGTCGGAGGGGAGGATGACCTAGAGTTCGGGGGGCGATTTAGAGCCAGGGAAATTAGGGGCCGGGCCGGGCGTTCGGGGGGGGAGGGGGGCGATTCAGACCCAGGGAAATTAGGGGCCGGCCGGGGTCACGGAGAAGAGAGGCCACTCTTATTCCCCCCCCCTTCTGCCCCGGCACCCAC